CTGGACGTGGAAGGCCCACCTGAGGAATGTTGAACAAATTAAAAGAACCGGAGAAGAACAAGAGGTGCTGTTAGGAAACTACCGCCTCTTCTGGGGTTGTAGGTTCTCCGGGAGGAGCTTGTCATGCTGGGTTTCCTAATATGAACTCAGCAGCTCTCATTATCATTGAAGGAGCTCAGCCTTGTCACTGAGAATGGCTGTGGTTTGCTCTGGTCCTTACTTTGAGCATCACTTCCTGGCTCCAGAAAGCAAGATGGTGCACACTGTTCAATTTCCTGGAGAAGCTTGTTGCACTGGCTTTTCTGATAAGGAACTCTGTTCTTGACACCTCATTGTCGCTGAGGATGGCTGGGATACTTTGTGAGGCAGCTCTGATCTTTACTTTGTGTTATAGTTTGTGTCTAGTTGTCCTCCCAAAGTCTCATGCAGTCATGGGGCAGACTTTTAAAGTTTATGATTAACTCATGATCTACTGGGATTATGGGCATGAGTGCTACTGGGATTATGGGTATACATGTTCCTGGGATTAGGGGTGTGAGTACTACACCCAGCTGGGATGGATGACCTGAATGCAATTTAAGGGAGGCCGACTTGCTCTCTGTAGCCATTCTTGCCGCCGCTCCCTTTGCTCTCTGCTCTTAGTCGCCTCCTTGAAAGGTTGCTCTCTGCCATGTGCTGCTCTGCCTTGGAGCCCGCTGAGTGTGGACTGAAACCTCCAGTAACTGTGGGCACCTTTCCTTCCTTCATTATGAGTGTCAGGTATTTGTCCCAGTAACAAGAGGAGGGTAACAGAGACACTTTGAATGTCACCTCCCAGCTCCAGTGCAGATCCCTCAGGCTGCTGGCATAGATCCTTCATCCCACTGGCACAGATTTTCTAGCTTCCACTACAGACCTTTGGGCCTTCCCAGTGCAAATCCATGAAACACACATGCATGAGACATTGTTGTGGGCTCTAAGTCTTTGCTAGACTCATGCAGGACGTTGCCATGAGATCCAGGCCTTCAGCTAGATTCTTTGGGTCTTACTATAAGGACAGATTTCCTGCACTCTTTGTATTTGACTCTTTTGATGACTATTATTTTAAAAAATCTGGCTGGAGAGATGGCTCAGTAGAATAAGCACTTTCCTGGCAAGCGCAAGAGCCTGAGTTCAATCCCTGGTTCCGCAAAAAAAAAAAAAAAATATATATATATATATATATATATATATATCCTGTATTCTTTCCCTTGCACATCCTAACTACAACACCATTTATCGCTTGGGGCTTAAAAAGCTCTATTTTAGCCACTGCGATATATTTCTTCTCCTTGCCCTTCCATAGAAACCGACTAAGAGCCAAGAGACCCCAGAAAGTTGGAGACCAAATGTAAGCTTCCTTACTGACCAGCTACTTAAAAAAAACAGCTTTTAAGTGTGGGGCAACAATAAGCTTCCTAATGTTGCAAGAACGCATTAAGCAGAATGACCTACCAGGCCGGTGGGAACTAGCAAATAACGATCCATTCCATGGGACAGAGCCACTTGCGACCAGTCTGTGATAAGAATCCAGAGAGGGCTGAGGTAGACTTGGCTGCCTTGTCTCTGCCTCCCCAGGCAAGCAGGTCATTCCTCGTGGGAAGGAGTAAGTGAGGGCAGGAAGGGGCCATGAGGGTGACTCTTGGGAAAACCCTTAGATGGGGGAAAGGAGAGGAAGAGGGAGTCAACTTTCTCCACCTGATAATTACTTCTAAATGACAGCAAATAAAGCTATGCTATAATCAAGCCAACTAAGTAATTACATCTACAGAACGCTGGAAGCAAAATTAGCAACAGCTGACTAAAGAACTGTCACTCCCAAAGCATGGTGGAAACAGCAGCTTGTCCTCTTGTGATGAGATGCAGGCTGCGTCGTGTTACTATGTAGCAGTCCTGTGGGGACACGCGCAAGTGATAACTCTGTCCCTGAAACTAGAGCCGGTTCGAAGTTACTCCCATAACAACGTTATCTTTGCTTCATTTCAGTCTCCGTGGGAGAAATGGGGGAGGAACCACAGGGAGCATTCCTGAAGTCACACGTAGCCCAGTCTGCCTTGTCTGTAAAGAGCTCACGGTGACAGACATTAACAATGGCAGTCGTACTTGTGACAACTGTGGATAACTGACATGCTCATGAGTTGTTTCTCTGAAAGTTACTTCTTCTAACTCAAATTTGATTGAAAAAGTAAATGAATTCTTTAAGTAG